CATCCTTAACATTAGTTCTACCTTCCTTAAACATTGACACCCACCTGGCAATTGTACAATATGGAAGGGAATTTTCTCCATACATTAAATCTAGATCCGTTTTTATTTCTTACGCGTATTTACCCAATAACCCACGAATTTTACAATAAGCTCTTTGCTCCTCTCTCAAATAACAATGCAACTGAGACCTGTTTACAACCAGTATACAAAACCACATGTTTTTAAATTTAAATCTTTCCAGTGGTATATTATACATGTACTTTCAGGAATTGAATTGTTGCCACTAATTAAAATATGCCGTTGTAAATGAATTTTATTAGATATGTCATTGTTTTGACCAAGTGCGTTAAAATTAGAGTTTGGATTTTAACTTCGTAACATGAAACATTATGAACTAAATAATAAAAATCCATTTATCAATAGCATTGTATTTATTTGCTCAATACGCCAAAATATTACATACATCATAAAATTACATATGTCACAATTTCTTACATTATTTTCAAATATAAATAACTGAGCGCAAACAGTTTCTATCATGCATGCATTCTTAATATCTATATCATAATACTCACATTCTATACCATGTGTTCAGTACTCTCATTAACGTTTCCAGGGTTACATAAATTCAATGCATGAAATATACAAAACTAAGGATCACATCTAAATTGTAGTCATGTATGTCTGTAAGGTAACCCTGTCCATGAAGAAATTACGCCAACAGTGTTATATAATAAATAATGTGTATCTAATTTTTATAATATGCCAAATTAACATACCTGTATAATGTATAACATTGAGAATAATTTGAAAAAAATACTATACATGTGTGCATATCAGAAACAAAACATCTGTTACAATTAAGTTTTCAAATTGCATTGAAATGTTTTATACCAGATCTACACATATACTTAGCAGCAGTGATAATCATACTGTATTAATAAAGCTGTTAAGAATATTCAGACTTATAAAATAAAATACAAGTAAATGACTATTGGATCTCTTCTAACTTAAATGGATGTTTAAAGGTCCATCAAACGTAAAATATCATAATGTTTTGCAGCTTTTTATTGTCTTTTTTTCTCATACTGTTTTCAAACAGTTATTCATTGGCCATAAAGCATTAACCATCTTTGGCTTGGCAATTACCTCAAGTATTTTGTATGGAAGTCAAAATAACCACGATGTTTACAGTTTGTTAATCTAATCACAATGTATTTCACATTTAATGTTATTTTCTTTAGCTGATAAGCATCTCACATGTTTCAAATCTCATTTTTATTACAATATTATACATGAACATCACATATTTGCCCTTTCAACAAAAAGAAAAATGTATTTATGTCGGAGGTTTAATGTGCCTTTAAAGAAAGTTTTTTTTTCTATTTTTAGCTCAAATGGCTTCTAAAAGTGGCCAATTGGCAAAGGGACCAGTATGACATAGCAGAAAGTATTGTAAACATCTGACAACATCTCTAAGAAAAGACAATGGAAGCCAAAGATTTCTGACTTTTTCAGATCACTATGAACCATTTGACAGGTGAGTTTGAACAAAAAAAAATAGCCTATAATTGTAACATCCAATTAAGTAAACTACAAACTACCACTACAAACTTTAACTTACACAATATAGAACATTGTCAGATAACAGTTCTCTGATTTTAACATCAATGGTATAACCGTAAATAAGACCCTGTTAAATTCCCTCATATGATAAAATATGTATATGATGCAAGATCATGACTAGTGAAATAATTTTGTTCCAGAACTTGACTGTTATTTCAATAAATGCATAATGATTGTTATAAACAATACTATTACACTAAAATAACCTATGGATAAGTTTTTGTCTGTACTCATTTTTCTTATTACAAGTACGTTATACATGTACAGATAAATACAGACAATTGGGTACCTTTAGATTTTTACAATTTCTTTTAACAAAAAAAGCACTAGCTACCATGTCTATGTCACAGTGGAGCAAGCACAACGCTGTTGTGCTATTAACAGGCTATAGTACTATTTTCAAACCAGCTCTCTTATAAATAAAAAAAACAGAGTTTTATTATTATTATATGCCCGAAAAAATTTCGGACATATTATGTTATACCCCCTGGCGTGAGTCCGTCCGTCCGTCCGTCCGCTCGTCCGTCCGTCAGTTAGCAATTTTGTTTCCTGAGCATAACATAAGTTCCATTTGGCCCACAATATTCAAACTTAATAGGATGATTGTTCATATTAACTAGAAGACCACTATTGATTTTTGGGTCATAAGGTCAAAGGTCAATGTCACTGTTACCTTAAACTGAAAACGGTTTCCGCCCATATGGATTTTAGGGTCATAAGGTCAAAGGTCAGGGTCACAATGATCTTTACACTGAAATTTTGGTTTCTGGAGCATAACTTAAGTTCCATTTGGCCAACAGTGTTCAAATTTAATAGGATGATTGTCAATATTGAGTAAAAGACCCCTATTGATTTTTGGGTCACAAGGTCAAGGTCACTATTACCTTAAAACTGAAAACAGTTCCCGCCCCTATTATTTTAGGGTCATAAGGTCAAAGGTCAGGGTCACAATGATCTTTACACTGAAATTTTGGTTTCTGGAGCATAACTTAAGTTTCATTTGGCCCACAGTGTTTAAATTTTATACGATGATTGTCAATATTGAGTAAAAGAGCCCTATTAATTTTTGGGTCACAATGTCAAAGGTCAAGGTCACTATAACCTTAAAACTGAAAACGGTTTCGCTCAATCACGTAAGTATTAATCAACCTACAGCTGTAAAATTTTACAGGATGAACAGCCATGTCCATTACATGACCCTATTGATTTTAGAGTCACAACGGCATAACACAAGTTCCATTTGGCTTACAGTGTTCAAACTTCATAGGATGATTGCGTATATTGAATAAAAGATCCATATCTATATTGGGGTCACAAGGTCAAAGGTCAATATCAAATGACCTGTATATTGTTAACAGTTTCACAACTGTCAAACTTCATAGGATGATCTTTTATATTGAGTACATTAATTATATGCCCTAAAAAATTACTTATTTTATACCCCTTATGTCTTTCCGTCCATCCGTCATAGCATATTTACTGACAAGATAACAACTTGATGGTGGTGCTTTGGAAACAGCAACTGTATATTTATGAAGGTTTTCCAGCTATAAAGGTGGATTGCTTTTTGAAGGACGTAATACTTTATTTTAATGTGTTTATGTATCAATTTCTTTAAAACGTGTATACATTGTATTTCCTTCATAAAAATGGGTACAATGAAAGATGGTTGTTTTACAGAAGGCACAAATTTTTTTTGTTTATGCATTCAAGACTAACACTTTTCGGGCATATAATGCTCCGCCTAGCGGTGCACTTATTATCATTTATTTTTTATTTTTATCCATTTATTTATTATTTATTTATTTATTTATTTATTTTTTCATTTATTTATTTTATAGTGATTTTCGTTAAATATGCAATTTACTAACCAAATTCGGGGCGTCATGACGAATACATTTAAGTCTAGGTAAATCATAATAAACTGTTTTTTAATTCAAGTATAATAATGAGAAAAAATAATACATTTGTTTAAACTAGGAGCAATCTGTGTTTCAGTGGAAACGTGATGGACTAGTTATCTAGAAGTCACATCTCGGCTCCACCACAAACAATACTAAAGACTGTCGTGTGTGACCCTAAAAACTGAAGTCGTGTATTGGTGTCATACATTGAACATGTAAAGGAACAGGCATAACCCATGTACTCCTCAGCAGAAAAAATCAACAAACTCTTCAGGACGCGTCACATATATATTTTTTATAGACATGCAAAAAATTTCGAACTACTAACCAACAAAGAGAAAATACTAGCATCTTAATATAAATAGTCTCTTGCTATGAAAAGTAGCTTTTAAATCAAGATACTGCTATTGTAAAAATATCGACAACAGGCTTGCAACAACAAAACAGGGATAAACGTTTTGTAGAATTGTAGCTACGTTCCTGCCTCTTTCGTTCAATCCCGAGTCTTCAATGCAAATTCTGGCACGGGTTTCGCCAAAGGTTCGCATAAGGACAAATCGACCATCAAAAATGAAGCGCTTTGAAATGTAAATGTAGAGGACTCTGTTATTTTCAAGCAGAAGGAATTCTGATGGTAATAGCACAACTTGTACGCAAATGTATAGCCCAGTAATAATATGTTCTTTCTGTAAAGGAATTTTAGAATTATACACTAATTTATACTGTGGTTTTTCCAGTTTCTCCGTGATATTATATGATGTATAATCTTTACTCCGATGGATTTGACTCCAAATAGACAAACTCATAGAAAAGTTTGCTGATTTTAGAACTTCCGTGGTATTTCCTAAACGCATTGACCATGTGTTTCCAATCATTTTCTTTATGTTTGTAATTAAGTTGTCCGGTTTAACTTTTGAAAGTTTTCTATGCATAATGATAATAACGTTATTTGACATTTGTGGCTGATCCATGACTCTATAGTTTATAGAATAAATAAACCATCTTCTCAACCATGTTGATTTTAGAGAAGGCAAAACTGATGAAAACTTGTTCCCGTATGGAATATCAAAGACCTCGGATACGTTTATAGGTTTTTCCAATGTAAGATTAATATATATCGCATATATTTGATTGTACCAAAAATTAGTCGGATATACACACTTATTTGTTCTGTCTCTTAGCTGTCCATTCGGACAAAGGACTTGACGGCAGCTGTTTTCCTAGGATAAAAAAAGACAATTTTAAATATAATACATAAAATGCACATTGGTTGGACAGCAAACCCAAACCGAAATAATGACAACTCTTAAAAACTTAAAAATAAGTGTTAAAACTATCAATATCATAAATTTTAATAACATTAAAGATGATTTCCTAATGAGCTATTTTTATATTACTATTCATTTTTATAACCTGTCAAAGTGATATGTTCTTAAAAAAATGTTTTTTTCTATGAAATATTTTATATCGCTAAAAACCTGACTCAAAACAACTTACATTTTTTATTGCGCATGCTGTTGGTAATTCCTTTACCTTGGAATGGTGTCTATCACTAGTCACAGCTATAAAGTTAACATCAATCAGTGCTATAAATCCTTCTCCAATACCACTTTTACCTGCAAAGATAAAATCTTCACCATATTTTGGGCAAAATACATCACGAAAAAAATACTCTCCATTACAAATGTGACAAATGACATTTGCATACATTTTGCGAGGTCGATATGGCGACACCATGCCACTTTTTGTACAGAGTGTCCTTATATCGTCTTTTGAAACATTTATTCCTATAGGCACTTGAAAATCCTGAGATTCGGGGCAAGTGTCAATGAGATTGGTGTAACATTTCAACGGTTGTAAAACATCATAAGTACCAGGGAAGATAAAATGTATTTGACAGCTTTCATAAAATGAGTCTAGTTCTGTTCTACTGGAAAGCATGGTGATACTTTGCGTGGCGTCGGTATCTGTGCATTTGATAACCGCATCCCAAATTATAACGTCGGTATCTTCACCATCTTGTTTTGCGCATTCTATGTTTTTATAAATTAGTCCTGACTTTGCAGAATAAACGGGATAAAAACTGCCCCAGGGAGCAACATTTATATCACCACAGGATGAATTAGATTGGCCTTCCTGACTGCCCGATGAAATGTTCTGAACAGAGGAAACCATAAAGAACGACTGATATAAATGTTCATCTCTTGCTGGATAAGGCAATGTTGGATAAAGGCAAGAACGATCATGTTGAAACTTCTCCAGTTTTTCATTTATGTGATTTTTAGATAGCAATGCATCCGGAAAGCAACAGTTACCAGTTTCTGGGCATTCAGCTGAGCATGAGCATTCTGTAATAAAAGGTCAGTAATTATGAAGATCACATCCTCTCGACCCTTTCCGTCAAACTCCGGATAAGGATCTCGTACACAATAGTAATAATATACAGAACAGATACGGTATTTCGGTCAACGAATAGTAATTAAATGAGAAGAGTTGTTGACTGATTTATATTTCAATATAAAGTTTAAGTACACCTAAATTCAGTAAATTTATAGATATAAAAGTAGACGGTACATTATTTGTAAACTTCTGATCATGGAAGAAAACATATTGAAATTGATCCGGATTTGGTAATGATTGTACAATAGTGAGCGTTTTAAAATTGATTTTTATTATCAGACATATGATTAATAATAATTCTCCCGAAATAGACTTTATTTTTTTAGATATCAAATATATATACAATCTTTCACATTATACAAAGTTCACACCCTCTATTTCTGTTTACATCTAAAACTACATGGTAGGACAACTTTCAATCAACTATTAAATAAAATAATTAATCGATGTGTTCTGATTGGGACAAAATTGTTACTGGAATAAAGAACAAGAATATATGGTGCAAACAACGGAATATTTCCAGAAATAGAAATATTAATCTAATTTTGACAGCAAACAAGGATCCTAGCTGTAAACTTGACTAAAACTACAACCATGTCTCATATGATGCACATCAATTTAGTACCATACACTTTAGTACTTAATAAACATGTTAGTGTAAATGAATTGTACATTTAACTGTCGTCTAAGTTTTGTACCACTTTCAGTTGCCGTATCCAATTAATTTTACTTATCTTGCGCCTCTGGTTTATTATTATTATTATTTAATCTTTCATCATTTTTTCTAACAGAATAAATATAGATCTATATAATATTTTCATAACGCGCATTATTCTACTACAACATTTTTTTTTCTTTTACTTTAAAGCATAAATTAGATTAGTTTATGTGTAAAAAACATATATTTATACAGTTACCAGCACAACAAGATTCTGTTCCTGGTTTAAACGAAATGTCGTCTGCAGTTCCGGATGAGCGATTGCTTAAGCAAATGTCACTTCCGGGACAAAGATAGTTGATAATGTCCGGTATTCGTGACAAAACAGGTGTATCTCCGTTTGATTGACCATAACCCACATACAAACATACTAATACAAGTTGAAACATCTCTGCATTCTATTTGGGAAAAAGAAACAAAACATAAGTACGGTGAATTTAGAAATGATACATAACTTTTTTAGTTAAGGTCGTTGACTTCAAACCACTTGCCCCTCACCGCTGTGGGTTCGAATCCCGACAGGGACTTTGGATTCTTTCATGTGAGGAAGCTATCCAGCTAGCTTACGAACCGTCGGTGGTTCTACTCAGGTGCCCGTTCGTGCCTGAAATAATGCACGGAAGGGCACCTGAGGTCTTCCTCCACCAGTAAAGCTGGAACGTCGCGATATGACCTATACTGTGTCGATGTGACGTAAAACCCAAAACAAACAAACAAAATACCTTTTTTATTGCGAGGTTGATAAAAAAAATTAATGAAATAAAAAACGGTATTCAAATTGTAATTTAGAGATCTTTCCAGAACTTGATTACATATACCTTTCTATGGAATCCCTTGGTGATAAACAAAGTGGCAAATTATTAAATGTGCTTACAAGGGTATCTGACACTTTGATCTTCTGAAATATCCTAATAAATTATCAAAATGTTTATTTACTTACATCAGTATTTCCACGTCAAATGATAAGTAAGCGGAATAATGTTGCAATATCTTTTTTCACTGTTATAAACATTTGTTTATAAAATAAGACATATCGGTATATAGCCGATTTACTCGCCTAAGTGTGGGCGTGATGGGGGAGGGGTATTTTCATCCTCATGATTTCATTGGTTGGAACGTATATCTTTTGATACATATTTAGCCTATATCATAATGTATTGGTTCTAATTCCCACCATTTTCGGTACAACTAGAATACATCCGGGTAGTATGTCCAAACGCAAACATTAGTATAAAAAATAAGCATATGATCAATGTCAAAACTTTATAAAACATATATGATTAAGTTACACAGTATTTTTAGCAATAAAAAACGTTAACTATGAATACTATCACTTAGTAACACAAAATATCGACATATCTCGAATTATAATGATAGCACTAGTAAATAAAAACTTAGGACATATACCATCCTATCAGTTAGTGTATATAACACCAAACAAAACAAATTTAACATGTAAATAACATATCTAATGCATCTTTCAGTAATTGCCAGGTGAGTGAAAATATGGTCATTTTCTGATTTCAGTTCGAGAGATACTGTACATGAATATATTTTGTAAATTCTTTACGGCGAATAATTTCTTCTGTCCTGTTCAGAGTTTTTCTTTCATATTAAATATTTTACAGAAGGTATATAATAACAGGAAAATTACCAGAGTGGATCCCAGTGGATTGTCTCACTGATGAATGTGTAAAAGTCGTGTCAAACTCCCAAAGCAATACAACCCAACAGTTTATAAGACATTAAACTTTATGCAAATGCATGAAATGGGGGACGAAACTTTTTATGGAAAACCGAAATACGTTCCTTTTAAAAGATTATGTTGGTTTCGGTAAAACATATGTTAGTTAAACACTAATGAGCCGCGCAATGACAAAACCAACACAATGGGTTTTCGACCAGCGTGAATCCAGACCAGCCTGCGCGTCCGCGCAGTCTGATCAGGATCCATGCTGTTCGCTATCAGTTTCTCTACTTGTTATAGAGTTTGTAAGCGAACAGCATGGATCCTGATCAGACTGCACGGATGCGCAGGCTGGTCTGGATACATGCTGGTCGCAATCCATTATGTTGGTTTTGTCATGGCGCGGCTCATATATGTGATGCTTGTTGGTTACAAGCTATGATGTTTCTCGTGATATCAACTCTCTCTCGTTCGACTTTATGTTCTACCTTGATTGCGCAAACATAACAGAAAAGGGAGATAATAAGGATATGACAAATTAACAGATTGATGTAACCAGTCTATATTTTAATGCAAATCTCTGATATAAGCAGCAAGGTTTTCTCCTCTTTTTCTAAACTACATTACAGTAACCCCTAAAATAGCACACCTGATTTGATAGCGAAGCACTGATGGTGCTAAGGTTTGGACTTATGATGTCTTCCTTCACAACTAAACTAACATGACCATAATAGTGTCGAGTCACCCAAATGTGTGGCGGCGTTGCCGAATGTTGACACGTCGGACTAATAATCTAAGGATTACTGGCCGCATGGGTTCGAACCCCGTCAGGAGCAAGCCGTTGTTTCCTTGAACAAAAATCTTTACATTCATTGCTAAGTACTGGGTAATTCCAGGAACTGTTTCGAGTTTGTTTCAATAAGCTTATAGCTTCCAACACAATCGAACTAAAATTAATTAGATTAATTAGTATAAACTAATAGTGTCGTATATGCCGATCACCCGTCCTCTATCTGCTTAAAAACGAGATACAAACTATCCATTGTTGCTATTGAATAAAGCTGTGTATAATGCCGTGGGAAGTATGAATGCATGGTATTCACATCATATCACAGTTTCACAATTTATGTGATAAATATGTATCACCATTGTGAAATAAACAGAGCATACAGAATAGGCCTGATTTACTGTATATTTATGGTGATATATTATACCAATTAGCAGTATGTGAGAATACGTCTGTATCAAGTTCTTTACTATAAACAACAAACAAACATAACACCTTTTTCAACCCATTGATGAAGCGAAAATGTGCTTATCTACTAGTATATTAAGAAACAATATTCTTACAAAACGATGCGCTATATTTTACCACAGGGATACTACTTATGTAACTTATGTAAATTTATATTATGCAATGCTACATGCCGAATATTTCTAAGACATGTGCATTCAAGGACGATTTATACAAGTCTTTGTAAACTAAATGATCTCAAGTTGTCCAAAGCTAAATTAGACTCTGGGACAGGCCTAATATATATCACTTATCTCCTCCACGGTATATCTTGTATCTTCATTTACTATGGCTTTGATAGAGCTGTCTTTTTTAGATGTACCTTTGGCGGGTATCATCCTTAACATTAGTTCTACCTTCCTTCAACATTGACACCAACCTGGCAATTGTACAATATGGAAGGGCATTTTCTCCATACATTAAATCTAGTTCCGAATTTATTTCTGACGCGTATTCACCCAATAACCCACGAATTTTACAATAAGCTCTTTGCTCCTCTCTCAAATAACAATGCAACTCAGCCATGTTTACAACCAGTATACAAAACCACATGTTTTTAATGACCTGCTCAAATTTTATTGCACGTGCAAATCGTGCGAAAATATACTGTTGGTTAGAAAAATCAATAATCTTTCCAGTGGTATATTTCATGTTTACATGTACTTTCACGTATTGAGTTGTTGCAACTAATTGTAAATGGATTTTATTAGATATGTCATTGTTTAAACCGAGTGTGCGTTAAAATTAGAGTTTGGATTTTTTACTTTTAACATGATACATTATGAACAAAATAAATAAAGCCTTTTATCAATAGCATTGTATTTATTTGCTCAATACGCCATAATATTACATACATCATAAAATTACATATGTCACAATTTCTTACATTATTTTCAAATATAAACAAGCAATTATCATAGTATTGCAAGCAATCCATAAGTCCCCTACCGGTTAGAACCCCATCAACATTCTGAAGGGCCATTGGCCATTCACTAATGTTTCAATTTTCTCTATTTTAAGTAAACTTGTTGGAAAAGTTCTTTAAAAGTGATCACAGGAAAAAGTTTTTATGAACAGACAGACAGACGGACTGAATGACACTCTATTTTTAATATTTGAAACATCCCTGTTACCAAAATATAACATTTTAAAAGCAAAATTCTTAAAGAGGAGATAACTCTTGAATTAAAGATGCAATTTCATAAAAATTTTCAGCTCTTTTTGACTAATCACAAATATAGTTATATTTGCCATGTTTTAAGCCTATTTGTTGCCAAGGCAACTGATATTTTTTCAAAATAGGAAGAACAGATAAGACATGCATAATCTCAAGACTGCTATCTACCCATATGTCAAGTTTCATAAAAATATTTCCAGTACTTTTTGCTTTATCACTGGATCCAGTTTATGTGTAAAATTTGCCATATTTTCAGCCTATTTGTTGCCATAGCAACCAGAATTTTCAACATAGGAAGAAAAGAAAATGACGTGCATAATCTCCATACTGCCATCTATTCATATTTCAAGATTCATAAAAATATTTCAGTACTTTTTGCTTTATCACTGGATCCAGTTTATGTGTAAAATTTGCCATATTTTCAGCCTATTTGTTGCCATAGCAACCAGAATTTTCAACATAGGAAGAAAAGAAAAATGACGTGCATAATCCCAAGACTGCCATCTACCCATTTGTCAAGTTTCATAAAAATATTTCCAGTACTTTTTGCGTTATCACTGGATCCAGTTTATGTGTAAAATTTGCCATATTTTCAGCCTATTTGTTGCCATAGCAACCAGAATTTTCAACATAGGAAGAAAAGAAAAAGACGTGCATAATCTCCATACTGCCATCTATCCATATACCAAGTTTCATAAAAATATTTTCAGTACTTTTCAAGTTATCGCGGGATCCAGTTTTGTGGACGGACGGACTGACGGACTGACAGACAGACGGACAGACGGACGGACAGACGGACAGACGGACGGAGGGTAAACCTAAAGTCCCCTCCGGTAAACCGGTAGGGGACTAATAACTGACCGCAAACAGTTTCTATCATGCATGCATTCTGAATATCTATATTATAATACTCACAACTATACCATGTATTCAATTTTCTCATTAACTTTTCCAGGGTTACGTTATATTCAATATTTAATCAATATCATCATGAAATATACAAAACTAAGGATGAATATCTAAAACTGTAGTCATGTATGTCTGTAAGGTATCCCTGTCCACCATAAAAGGAATAAGTAAAAATTACGCCAACATAATTTTATAATAATAATGTCTATCTAATTTTTATAATATGCCAAATTAACATACCTGTATAATGTATTACATTGAGAATAATTTGAAGAAAAAATACTATACACGTGTCAGAATCAGAAACAAAACATCTGTTATAATTACGTTTTCAAATTTCATTGAAATGTTTTATACCAGATCTACACATATACGCATCAGCAGCGATAATCATACTGTTAGAAAGCTGTTAAAATATTCAGACTTATAAAATAAAATACAAGTAAACGACTAGTGCATCACTAAAATGGATGTTTAAAGGCCCATCAAACCTAAAATACCATAATGTTTTAAAGCTTTTTCTTGTCTTTTTTCTCATACTGTTTTCAAACAGTTATTCATTGGCCATAAAGCATTAACCATCTTTGACTTCTTAAAGCCTGTTTGGCAATTAGCTTAAGTATTTTGTATGGAAGTCAAAATAACCATGATGTTTACATTTTGTTAATCTAATCACAATGTATTACAAAATTAATGTTATTTCTTTAGCTAATTAGCATCTCGCATGTTCCAAATCTCATTTTTATTACAATATAATACATGAAAATCACATATTTGCCCTTTCAACAAAAAGAAAAATGTATTTATGTCGGAGGTTTAATGTGCCTAAATTAAAGAAAGTTTTTTTCTATTTTTAGCTCAAATGGCTTCTAAAAGTGGCCATTTGGCAAAGGGACCAGTATGACATAGCAGAAAGTATTGTAAACATCTGACAAGATGAAAAGACAATGGAAGTCAAAAATTTCTGGCTTTTTCAGATCACTATGAATCATTTGATAGG